TCAAAAGCAAAACACTAGTGAGGGGGGGACAGGAAAAAGGAGAAAGAAAAGCATAAATATGGGGAAAATGAATGGAGAAAAAGACACAGATAGTAATCATAACTGTGAATGTGAATGGGATGAACTCTCCCATAAAACAGAAATGGATTGCAGAATGGATTAAAAACCATAATCCTACAATATGTTATTTACAGGAAACACATTTGAAAAAGAGTGACACACACAGAGTAAAGGTAAAAGGCTGGAGCAGAATATATTATGCCTCAGCTGAAGTAAAAACAGCAGGGGTAGCAATCCTGATGTCAGACAAAGCAAAAGCAAAAATAGATGTGTAATCAAAAGAGATAAGGAAGGAAACTACGTCCTGCTAAAAGGCACCATAGACAATGAAGTAATATCATTACTAAACGTATATGCACCAAATGGTATAGCATCCAAATTCTTAGAGAAGTTCAGGGAGTTACAGGAAGAAATAGACAGCAAAACTATACTAGTGGGGGACCTCAACCTCCCCATCTCTGCACTAGATAAATCTAACCACAAAATACAGAAGAAAGAAGTTAAGGAGGTGAATAGAACATTAGAAAAGTTAGGTATGATAGACCTCTGGAGAAAACTGAATGGGGATAGAAAGGAATATACTTTTTTCTCAGCAGTACATGGCACATACACAAAAATTGACCATGTACTAGGGCATAAAAACCTCACAATCCAATGCAGAAAGGCAGAAATATTAAATGCATCCTTTTCAGATCATGATACAATAAAAATTATATGTAATAAAGGGCCATGAAAAGATAGACTAAAAAATAATTGGAAACTAAATAATCTAATCCTAAAAATGATTGGGTCAAACAACAAGTCATAGAAACAATCAATAAAAAATGATTGGATCAAACAACAAATCATAGAAACAATCAATTATTTCTTTCAAGAGAATGACAATAATGAGACAACATACCAAAACTATGAAATGCAGAGAAAGCAGTTCTTAGGGGAAGTTTTATATCTCTAAATGCTTACATAAATAAAATAGAAAAAGAGGAGTATAATGAACTGGGCATACAACTAAAAAGATTGAAAAAGAGCAACTAAAAAATCCTCAACTAAACACTAATTAGAAATATTGAAAACCAAAGGAAAAAATAATAAAATTGAAATTAAAAAAATTATTGAACTAATAAATAAAATTAAGAGTTGGTTTTATGAAAAAACCAATAAAATAGATAAAACTTTGGTTAATTTAATTTAAAAAAAAGAAAGAAGAAACCAAATTACTAGTATCAAGAATGAAAAAGGTGAAGCTACCACCAAGGAAGAGGAACTTAAAACAATAATTAGGAATTATTTTGCCCAACTATATGCCAACAAATTTCACAATCTTAGTGAAATGGATACATATTTACAAAACTATAAATTGCCCAGATTAACCAAAGAGGAAGTAAAATACTTAAATAACCCCATCTCAGAAAAAGAAATTGAACAAGCCATTGATGAACTCCCTAGGAAAAAATCTCCAAGGCAAAATGGATTTACATGCAAATTCTATCAAACATTTAAAGAACAATTAATTCCAATACTATATAGAGAATTTGGGAAAATTCTTTTTATAATACAAATATGGTGCTGATACCTAAACCAGGAAGAGTCAAAATAGAGAAAGAAAATTATAGACCAATTTCTCTAATGAATATAGATGCAAAAATGTTACACAAAATACTAGGAAATAGATTGCAGCAACTTATCACAAGAATAATACACTATGACCAGGTAGGATTTATACCAGGAACGCAGGGTTGGTTCAATATTAGAAAAACTATCAGCAGAATTGAGCATATCAACACCAAAACCAACAGAAACCACATGATCATCTCAATTGGTGCAGAAAAAGCTTTTGATAAAATACAACACCCATTCCTATTAAAAACACTAGAAAGCATGGGTATAAATGTAGTCTTCCTTAAAATAATAAATAGCATCTATCTAAAACCTTCAGCAAGCATTATATGTAATGGGGACAGGCTAGAAGCATTTCCAGTAAGATCAGGGGTGAAACAAGGATGTCCATTATCACCACTGTTATTCAATATTGTACTTGAAACATTAGCTTTAGCAATAAGAGAAGAAAAAGAAATTGAAGGCATTAGAATAAGCAAAGAAGAAAGAAAGCTTTTGCTCTTTGCAGATGACATGATGACATACTTAGAGAATCCTAGAGAATTAAGTAAAAAACTACTTGAAATAATAAACAACTTTAGCAAAGTTACAGGCTATAAAATAAACCCCCATAAATCATCAGCATTACTATATATTACCAACAAAGCCCAACAGCAAGAGATAGAAAGAGAAATCCCAGTAAACTTACTGTAGACATTTTAAAATATTTAGGAGTCTTCCTACCAAAACAAATCCAGGAACTCTATGAACACAATTAGAAAACACTTTTCACAGAAATAAAATCAGATCTAAATAATTGGATAAACATCAGTTGCTCATGGGGAGGCCGAGCTAATATAACAAAAATCACAATCCTACCTAAGCTAATTTACTTCTTCAGTGCCATACCAATCAAACTACCAAAAAATTACCAAGATTCATTTGAAAGAACAAAAGGTCCAGAATACCAAAGGAACTAATGAAAAGAAATGCAGGGGAAGGTGGCCTAGCAATTCCAGATCTTAAATTGTATTATAAAGCAGCAATCATCAAAGCTGCTTGGTACTGGCTAAGAAATAGGGGGGGTGGATCAATGGAATAGGTTAAATATGCAAGACACAGTAGTCAATGACTATAGTAATCTATTATATGATAAACCCAAAGACCCCAGCTTCTGGGATAAGAACTTACTACTCTTTGAAAAAAACTGCTGGGCAAACTGGAAAAGAGTATGGCATAAACTAGGCATAGACCCAAATCTCACACCATATACCAAAATAAAGTCAAAATGGGTTCATGACTTAGATACAAAGGCGGATACCATAAGTAAACTGGGAGAACAAAGCATAGTTTACCTATCAGATCTATGGAGAACAGAAGAATTCATGACTAAACAGGAGATAGAGAACATTATGAAAAGCAAAATGGATAATTTTGATTACATTAAATTGAAAAGTTTTTGCACAGACAAAGCCAATGCAACTAAGATTAGAAGGAAGGTAGAAAATTGGGAAAGAATTTTTACAACCAGTCTCTCTCATAAAGGCCTTATTTCTAAAATATATAGAGAATTAAGACAAATTTATAAGAACACAAGCCATTCCCCAATTGATAAATGGTCAAAGGATATGAACAGACAGTTCTCAGATGAAGAAATTAAAGCCATCTATAGTCATATGAAAAAATGCTCTAAATCATTATTGATTAGAGAAATGGAAATCAAAACAACTCTGAGGTACCACATCACACCTGTCAGATTGGCCAACATGACAAAACAGGAAAATGATAAATGTTGGAGGTGTGGGAAAATTGGAACACTAATACATTGTTGGTGGAGTTGTGAAATGATCCAACCATTTTGGAAAACAATTTGGAACTATGCCCAAAGGGCTACAAAAATGTGCATACCCTTTGATCCAGCAATAGCACTTCTAGGGCTATATCCCAAAGAGATCAAACAAATGGGAAAAGGACCCACATGTACAAAAATATTCATAGCAGCTCTTTTTGTGGTGGCAAAGAATTGGAAATTGAAAGGATGCCCATCAATTGAGGAATGGCTGAGCAAGTTGTGGTATATGAATGTAATGGAATACTATTGTGCTATAAGAAATGATGAATAGGCTGACTTCAGAAAAACCTGGAAAGACTTCTATGGTCTGATGCTGAGTGAAGTGAGCAGAACCAAGAGGACTTTGTACACAATAACAGCCACGTTATGTGATGACTAATATTGTTAAACTGAACCCTTCTCAGCATTACAAGGATATAAGACATCTCCAGAGGCCTTGGGATGGAAAATGCTGTCCACATCCAAAGAAAGAACTATGAAAGTAGAATTGCTATCACTTATTTTTACCTTCTGTTGAGTTTTTTTTTCATCTTTCTGATGGTTCCTCCTATTGGTTTTAATTTTTACTTACAACTTCAGTAACGTGAAAATGTTTAATAGGAATGTAAATGTAAAGCCTATATATGAGATTGTGTGATGTCTTGAGGAGGGTGGGGGGGGAGAAAAATTTTCAACTCAAAAGCATATGGAAGTGATTGTTGATAAATCAAAATAAATTAATAAAATTTAAAAAATAAAATAAAATGAAGAACATCAATAAATAAATAAAGAAGTAAATAAATAAATGAGTGAATGAATAAATAAATTAATTAATTAAGACAAAGTTCTTTTCCTATTCCTTTTGGGTATTAAAAGGATCATCTATTAATGGTGGTAATAACTTAAATATTTTCTTTCACACAAAAATGTCTTTTTCTTTTCTTTTTGTCACAAAACTGCTCTATGTGAAAGGAACCTTAAAGGGAGAGTGGAGCTTACAGGGCAAGAGAAAGGGGAAAGCTCACTTGTCAGAAGATTTTAGTGGGAACGGAAGAAGGAGCTTGAAAATAATGGCCAGGAGAGCAAGCAGGAAAATGGCCCAAAAAGAGGTAGGTACCAAGGGACAGAGTTGGGGAGGTGGGAGGGAGAGAAGGAAGGAAGAAGAGAGAGAGACAGAGAGAGAGAGACAGACAGAGACAGAGAGACAGAGAGAGACAGAGAGAGTGAGAGACAGGCACAGCAACAGAGAAAGACAGAGAGAGGAAATGTCTTGTTAATCCACAAATCTAATAATTAAAAGTTGGCTGCATGTTTGTCTAGAGGAGTGTTTTGTACCTGGTAAAAGTCGTTCTCCTGGTTCCTCAGCTCAGGAATCCTCTTGGCTTAAAAGGGCTCGACAGGCATGAGCACACCCAGTGAGGTAACCTTAGACCTCTCTTTCTCTTAATCACCCCAGTTTCAGGAAATGGGCAGTCCTTAGGTCAGACAACTTTCATTTTCCATCTGTCTTTTTCTGCTCACATATATCCAGGCTCCAGACACAACCCACAAACACTGATCCCAGCTCTGAGGAGGGAGACAGAAGGCTGTTCATTTTAGTAAAGCCACAGTGCCTGGATTTGCCAGGTGAGGGGTTGGCAACACCTCTGTGGGAGGGTGGGCTCCCTGCTCTGTCCACGGGACAGACCTGCCCTTGTCAGACTGTCTGCTTTGTTTCTCTGCTAGCTTAGCTTTAGCTCTTGTGAAGAACATGTGTGTTGGCTGAGTTCTCACTCCCTCAAAGAACCCGAGTTGGCTTGTGGAGGGCAATGCTCTCTCAGCTGAATGATTGTTCTTTCATGCTTTGCCAAATCTGAGTGAGGGCTCTTTTTGAGGGGAGGTGGGTGAGAGAAGCTGAAAACAGGCCTATTGCCTCCAGCTAAAAGGTTCTTCAAAATGATTTATAAAAGTCCTCAGATTCAAAGTACAACAAAGTAATTTTAAACCACACTGAAACCAAACTAAATATTTACCAATTTTTCCCAAAAAATATTTTAATTCAGAGCCTTGAAGAGAAATGTCAGCCCCATCATGTGGCAGAAATTACCATTCAAGTACAGCCATGGAGAAATGTGGAATGCCCTTATTATGGGCAAACAATGTCTATTCAGAATGAACACTACAGTTAGTTATTCACTTAATCACATTATCCCTGTTTGACTCATTTGGGGAAATGAAGACACTGACCAGTTAGGGACTCATTTAAGATCACATAGCCAATGAGTGAAGGGGATTGGATTTCAGATAGACTAGGATTGGGTTCTTTCCCCAATCTCCAATGACCTAGTTAGTAGATACATTCTCTTGTCTATTAACACTGTTCAGGAACCTTGAATCATTCACAACTAAAGTAGAAAAATGATATTTGTGCATTCAATAATTTTTTAAAATTTATTTCTATATTGACAAAACTTTACCCTTCAAAATCCCTAAGGCAAAATATGGGCATTGTAAGCCTACACTAAAGTTTCTTAAGTTTTATTCTGATCATGATGTAATGAGAAGAGATATCAACAAAAGCAATTTTTAAAAATGTCTGTAATATACTACCCTGTGTGATGTCAGGAAAGTGATGTCAGTGGGCCTCAGTTTCCTCATCTATAAAAGGAAGATATAGGGTTAGATGAGATATGAAAGTGAATATATGCATTTAGAATGTCTTGTAGTTTTTGTCAAATAGGGAATTCTTTCCTATTTAATTTTTGTTTTCTGATTTATCCAACATTGGGATATTGAGTTCCATAGTTTCCGAATCTCCTTTGTCTTGTCTATTTGATTTTTAAAAATCTGAGAAAACTAAAAAGCAGTCTGTCAGAAATTATTCTTAATCCAACATCTTCATATTTGCCAATATTCCATTCCTCGAGAGTAGTTCCCTCCCCCCAATGAAAGTCATGGATCCTGTACAAAACATATTTTGAACTCATGCTGCCTTTCATATACTAAGACCGTTAAGAGTTGTGTCTTCAGCAGTGGTGATGGATTTGCCCTGAAACATCTATGCTCACACTCAACTAATGCAAAGTGTGTGAAATAGCCAGGCTAGATAGACTGATTCAACCTGTGACCACAGACAGGTATCAAAATAACTGCTTCCTCATTTCCCTCTAACTCCCCTGTCACTGGGAATGAGCCCATGAATTTGGCCTCATTAGTACATTCTAAACAACTGAGGTAACCTGTCATGAAAAACAAAACCGTTGACTCTGATAAAGTGTAAAGGCTACCTCTGAGTTTCAGTGAATTGCGATCTCTCTGGTTCTTTTTCCCATCTCTTCTTATCGCCATAAATCATCCAAAGGTACCTATAAACATATCCTGAGAGAAGCAGAAGGAAGGGCTATGCTTCTGTTTATTTATGGAATCCTAGTAACCAGAGAATGATATATACATGAGGAAAGAACTCTGGAGTTTTGGGGAAATAAGCCAAGGGAAGGGAAATAATTTTGGCCAGGGTCATAAAGCCAGTTAAAGGCAAGGCTAGCACCAGAACCCAGGTCTATTGACTCTGAACTGCAGTCTCTTTTTCACTTCACCACAATTACAATGACTTCAAAAATTCTCTGTCTACAGAAGTTGCACAGAAAGGCAGCAGGGTATTGTGGAAAAATTCTCGACAAGATGAACCAGGGGTCAAGCCGTGGTGAGCAGCAGCCCAAGACTCCCCACGACAGCACTGGAATGGAAGGTGATTGAAGTGGGATAGGGTTCCCTTTTTCTTTTGGCAGCTAAGATTGTGGTCCCTTTCTAATTAGATAAAAGCTGCTGTGAATGATGGCCTCCATTTCCCTGGTCTTCCCTCAGTAAGACACCTTTCCCTCTCCCTCTGGGGCAGGCAAGGCTTTCCCCTACATGATGGCATCAAGGAGTACCCTTCTTTCCTCTGGTGGTCTGAATAGCTCTATATAGGTTCATGCCTCACACCTCACATTTCTCCATCAACTCTCATCCCTAAGAGAAAATAAGAACCCTGGGAGACAGATAACATCTCAGACTGTGAACCATAGAGGTTGGGGGAGAAAGGGAAGGGGATCATTCATTCTGTCCACCCAATCTGACTGTTCTCTGTGCTGCTCTCACATTAACTGTTTTTGCATTAGAAGAAAAAAGAAAGTACGTGTATCTGTGCCCAAGGGTATAAAAATACAGATGACAGAATTTTAAGTTCTAATGACAAAGGTTGCTATATGAAAACTCTAGGACCCCTTCTCAATTGCAGACAACCCATCAACCCTGACTGTAGTCTTTTTTTTAAAAAAAATATTTTTTCCCCAATTACATACAAAAATAATTTTTAGCATTCATTGTTTTTCTTTTTAAGTTTTGGGTTGTAAATTTAATCCCTTCCTCCCTCCCCTCCTCCTTCCTTGAGATGGTAAGCAATTTGATATAGGTTATACATATGCAATCATGTAAAATATTTCCATGTCAGTTACTTTGGAAAGGAAGACAAGAAAGAAAGAAAGAAAGAAAGAAAGAAAGAAAGAAAGAAAGAAAGAAAGAAAGAAAGAAAGAAAGAAAGAAAGAAAGAAAGAAAGAAAGAAAGAAAGAAAGAAAGAAAGAAAGAAAGAAAGATGGTATGCTTTGGTCTGTATTCAGACAACATTAACTCTTTCTCTGTGATGGTAAATAGCATTTTTCATCATGAGTCCTTTGGGATTATTTTCAATGATTGTATTGCTGTGAATAGCTAAGTCGTTCAGAGTTCTTCAATGTACAATATTACTGTTATTGTGTACAGTGTTCTCCTGGTTCTGTTCACTTCACTTTGTATCAGTTCATGTAAGTCTTTCCAGGTTTTTCTGAAATCATCCTGCTTGTCATTTCTTGTGGCACAATAATATCCAATTAAAATCATATACCAAAACTTGTTCAGCAATTCCTCAATTGATGTGCATCCTCTCAATGTCCAATTCTTAGCCACCACAAAACAAGCTGCAATAAATATTTTTGTACAAATAGTTCCCACTTTTTAATCTCTTTGGGATATAGACCTAGCAGTGGTACTGCTGAATGAAATGGTATGCACAGTTTTATAGCCCTTTGGGCATAGTTACAAATAGCACTCCAGAATAGTTATGTCAGTTCACAGCCCCACTCACAGTGCATTAGTGTCCCAGTTTTCCCCACATCCCTTCCCACATTCATAATTTTCCTTTTCTTGTCATATTAGCCAATCTGATAGGTGTGAGGCAGTACCTTATAGCTTTTTTAAAGTGCATTTCTCTACTCAACAGTGATTTAGAGCAATTTTTATATGACTATAGTTAGCTTTGATTTCTTTGTCTAAAAGCCTCCTGTTTATATCCTTTGACCATTTATCAGTTGCAGAATGACTTGTGTTCTTATAAATTTGAGTCAATTCTCTCTATTTTTGAGAAATGAGGTCTTTATCAGAGAACCTTGATGTAATTTCTTTCTTCCAGTTTTCTGCTTTCCTTCTCATTTTTATTGCATTGAATTTGCTTATGCAAGAACTTTTTAAATTTTGTATAACCAAAATTATCTATTTTACATTTCATAATGCTCCCTATATTTTGTTTGGTCTTAAATTTTTCTCCTATCCATAGATCTGACAGGTAAACTATTGCATTCTCTCCTAATTTGCTTATGATATTACCCTTTAAGTATAATTTTGACCCATTTTAAACTTACCTTGGTACGCAGTGAAAGATGATTTTCTATGCCCAGTTTCTTCCATACTGTTTTCCAGTTTTCCCAGAAGTTTTTGTCAATATGAATTTTTGTCCCAAAAGCTTGGATCTTGTGTTCATCAAACACTAGATTACTACAGACATTTACTACAATGTATTGTGTACCTAGTCTATTCCACTGATCCACCAGTCTATTTCTTAACCAGTACCAGGTTATTTTGAAAATTACTGCTATATAATATAGTTTTGAATGACACCTCCATTTCCTTAACTAGGCCATCTTCCTTTACAGTTTTTTTTTTCATTGATTCCCTTGATATTCTTGACTTTTTGTTCTTCCAGATAATTTTGTAATTTTTTTCTAGCTCTATTAAATATTTTTTCATAGTTCAGTTGGTATGGCATTGAAGAAGTAGATTAATTTAGGTAGAATTATAATTTTTATTATATTGGTCAATCAATGAAAAATTGATATTTTTCCAATTTTTCAGATCTCACTGTTTTTGTGTGAAAAGTGTTTTCTGATTGTGTTCGTATAGTTCCTGAGTTTGTCTTAGCAGGTAGATTCCCAAGTATTCTATATTGATCAAATGTATTTTAAATGGAATTTCTCTTTCTACCCCTTGCTGCTAGACTTTGTTGGTAATATATAGAAATGCTCATGGTTTATATGAGTTTATTTTGTATCCTGCAACTTTACTAAAGTTGTTAATTATTTCAATTAGTTTTTTTTAGTTCATTCTCTAGGATTCTTTAAGGATACCACCCTATTATCCACAAAGAGTGATACTTTTGTTTACTCATTGTCTATTCTAATTCCTCCAATTTATTTTTCTTCTCTTAGTGCTATAGCTAGCATTTCTAGAATAATGCTGAGTAATAGTGGTGATAATGTGCATCCTTGCTTCACCCCTAATCTTATTGGGAAAGCTTCTAGCTCATTCCCATTACAGATAATACTTGCTGATGGTTTTAGATAAATGTTATTTATCATTTTAATGTAAGTTCCATTTATTCCTATGTGCTCTAGTGTTTGTTTGTTTGTTTTTTTAATAAATAGGAATGGGTGTTGTATTTTGTTCAAAGACTTTTTCTACATCTTTTGAAATAATCATATAATTTCTGTTGGTTTTCTTATTGATATGATCAATTATGCTGATATTTTTCCTAATTTTGAATCAGCTTTGCATTACTCATATAAACCCCAGCTGCTCATGTGTATATTTGTAATCTATTGCTATAATTTCTTGCTAGCATTTTATTTAAACTTTTTGCATCAATATTCATGAGGCATATTGGTCTATAATTTTCTTTCTTTCATTTTTTTTATTGAGGCAATTGAGGTTAAGTGACTTGCCCAGAGTCACACAGTTAGTGAGCATAATTTTCTTTTTCAATTTTTGCTCTTCCTGTTTTAGGTATCAGCACTCTATTCATGTCATAAAAGAAATTTAGTAGGACTCTTTCACCTATTTTTCCAAACAGTTTATATAGCATTTGGATTAATTATTCTTTAAATGTTTGGTAAAATTCACTTGCAAATCTATCTGACCCTGGGGATTTTTTTCCCTTGGGGAATTCATTGATGGCTTGTTCAAATTCTTTTTCTAAAATTGGGTTATCTAAGTATTCTATTTCCTCTTCTTTTAATATGTACAATTTATATTTTTGTAAATAGTTAATCATTTCATTTATATTGTCAGATTTATTGGCATATAATTAGGCAAAATGGCTCCCAATAATTGTTTTAATTTCTTCTTCATTTATGGTGAATTCATGCCTTTCATTTTTGATACTGGTAATTTTTCTTCTTTCCTTTTTTAAATCAAATTAATCAATGGTTTATTTTATTGTTTTATTTTTCATAAAAGAAGCTTCTAATTTTATTTATTAGTTTAATGGTTTTCTTACTCTCACTTTTATTAACCTCTCTTTTGATTTTCAGAATTTCCAAATTTGTTGTTTAATTCAGGACTTTTCATCTGTTCTTTTTCAAGTTTTTTAAATGTATGATACAAACATTGACATATGTAAATTTCCTTGATAAATTTGGTATGTTGTCTCATTGTTGTGATTCTCTTTAAAGAAATTATTTATTTCTATAATTTGTTCTTTGATTCAGTCATTCTTTAGGAACAGATTATTTAGTTTCTAATTAATTTTAATCTCCCCTTCCACTGTCTTTTTTGAATGTAACGTTTATTGCATTCTCATCTGAAAAGGGTGCATTTAATATTGCTGCTTTTCTATATTTGTGAAGTTTTTATGCCTTAACATATGGTCAATTTTTGTGTAGATTCCATGTAATGCTAAGAAAAAGGAATGTTCCTTTCTATTCTTATTCAATTTTCTCCAGAGATCTATCATATCTAAATTTCTAGACTTGTCTTCACCCCTGTAACATCTTTTTTGTTTATTTATGTAGTCCTGAGGGGGAAAGTTGAAGTCTCCCACTGGTATTGTTTTGTTGTCTATTTCTTCCTGTAACTCATTTAAATTCTTTAAAAATGTATATACTAGGGGGTGTAGCCAAGATGGCAGAGTAAAAGCTTGATTTGCTTGAGCTATCTGCCAACCCCCTCCAAATACTGGTGAAAAATGGCTCTAAACAAATTCTAGAGCAGCAGAACTCAAAATGAGACAGAGAAAAACAAATTTCCAGGCCAAGGCAGCCTGTATAGTTGATGTGAAAGGTGTGTTTTGCTGAGTTGGGAGAAGAGTACTGTTCAACATAGGCCATGCAGGCAAATGTAGGGTACCAATTACCTCATGAAAGAGATCCCCAGGGGAAAACTCCTAGGAATATTATAGCTAAATTCAAGAGTTTCCAGGTCAAGGAGAAAATATTGCAAGCAGCCAGAAAGAAACAATTCAAGTATTGTGGAAACACAATCAGGATAACACAAGATTTAGCAGCTTCTACATTAAGGGTTGAGAGGGCTTGGAATATGATATTGCAGAAGTCAAAAGAACTAGGATTACAACCAAGCATCACCTACCCAGCAAAACTGAGTATAATCTTTCAAGGGAAAAA